AGAGAGAGAGAGAGAGAGAGAGACTTCCCGGATAACTTTGATCTAAAAATATAAAACTTAACAATATTTTTGTATATAAAGTGTAGGAATATTAACACAAAGTCAAGAATATTTTATTATCATTAAATAAATTTTTTTGAAAACAATGAATAAACTCTTGGTTTTAGTGTTTTGTATAATCGCTGTCATTATGACTACCGTTGAGGCCCAGTATGGCTACCGTAAAGGGTTCGCCATTACAAGGGACAGGAGTGATCTCAAATACAGACAGACTGTCCACCGTGGTCCTGTCCTGGGTCAGCATTTTGGATAGGTAGTCTAAATGACTAACACCTGGTGCTGACTGTATGGACACATTTTGCCGATAATTAAATTTGATAATTATTTGATTCATTAATAAAGATATTATATACAATTTAAATCTCTTTAAAAATTAAAACTTATTTTTTTAATGGTAAATAAAGTTATAAAAAAATGTGGTTTATTAAATAAAATGTTGAATCATCATGTATTGCTTTAAAATTTTAACTTCTAATAAAATTTATGTTTTATTATACAAATATTGATTTTTTTATAATTTGTATTAGGAAGCCTTTGAAATTTTTGAATACATATTGATTCAGCATTTGGAGTACTATTATAATAACAAAATATTTTTATAAATTCACTTAAAACAATAGAAATTAATACATATTTTACTAATATTGATATGACTTGTTTCAAATAAATATACTGTATAAGAGTTTTATTTTTATTTTTAATATGGAGTACTAATTTTGCGTTACTTCAGACTGTTTGAATAAATTTATATTAAATAATTGGTATGTTAAGATTTTTATAATACCTGTATTCATAATTTTTATTCAAATCAATTAAAAGTTTATTTTCAAAACCAACTAATTTTTTGTCAGTTTTACAATCACTTATATTCTTTTATGTATGACATGTACTGAGAATGTATAATACTGTATGCTATTAATAGTTTGTTTTTATAAATTTACAATTAAAAATAGGAAGGTATAATAAATAACCATCAAAAATATATCCATATCCTATCACGTCCTCCAAGGGCTGGGAAAGTCCTACGATTTATTTTCTGATAGAGAGAGAGAGAGAGAGAGAGAGAGAGATTACTATTTCCCGGATAAATCATATTTGACTTAAAAATGTACAATTTTTTGTAAAATATTTTTTGTATATAAAGTGTAGACATATCGACACAAAAAACTAAGAATTTTTATTATCATTAAATAAAAATTTGCAAAAACAATGAATAAACTGTTGGTTTTAGTGTTTTGTATAATCGCTGCCACTATGACTGTGATTGAGGCCCAGTATGCCTACGGTAGGGCGTATGGTAGGGACTACTCCCATACCCAGAATCGTGACCGGTACAGACAGCCACAGTACCGGGGTCCTGTACGTGGCCTACACTTTGGTTAAGGGGACGATTAATGGATGGCAAAAACACCCGGCGCTGATTGTATGGACACGTTTTGGACAATTAAATGACATGTTTTTTGGATTCAATTATAAGACAATAATTTTCTAAATTAATTATAAATCAATTTTTAAATCTATTATATTATAAAGTTGTTATGAAATATGATTTGTTGTGAACGTATGTAATGATTGTTACTTTCAAATAATAATAATTAAAATAAACTTATGTTTTCAAAACTATTATATATTTTCACTTATTTAACATTATCATGAAATTGTTTTATTAAAAAATTGGGTTTGAAATACAATACTTGAAGTATAATATATTAATAATCAAATATAAATTATATTATATTATTGATAATTATGCACTTGATTGCAAAAAAAATAAATTAGAAATTAATTTTTCATTAAGTACTAATAATAATGATATCATGGTGAAAAAGTTCTAGTCTCTAGCTGCTAGATTAACTTGCAACCTTTTAGGTCCCATTAATGGGTTGCATAAATAGTAGTCCAGTGTGGGTGTTTGCGCCAAGGTAAACTCAAATTTATGTATGAGCTTGGCCAAACACACCCGCATTACACTTATGGCAAACCGTTGTCCAATGCACTGTCGGGGTCCGCCACCAAAC